ATTTCATTCTTAGTTTCTCCCTTGACACACTCATTGTTTAGGAGTGTGTTGTTCAATCACCACACCTTCATGTATTGACTATGGCTTCATCCACTGTTGATTTTAAGCTTTATTGCTTTGTGGTCCAATAGAAAGCATGGATTTGCTGAGGTTTGTTTTGTGGCCAGCATGTAGTCAATTTTTGAAAAAGTTCCATGATGTGCTGAGTAAAAAGTGTATTCTTTGGTGTTTGGGTGGACTAATCGAAAGATATCTGTTAGGTCCATTTCATGTATGCTATCAGTTAATTCAGACATCTTTCTGTTTATTCTTTGTCCACTTGACCTCTCTAATGGAGACAGTGGGATGTTGAAGTCTCCTACTAATATTGACTTAGGGTTAATCTGTGTCTAAAGGCCTGTAGTGTTGTTTGTATGAATTTGGGTGCATCAGAATTTGGTGCATGTATGTTAAGGATTGCAATATCTTCTTGGTTAACTGTTCCTTTGATCAGAATGAAGTGACCCTCCTTATCTCTTCTGATTAGTTTTACTTTCAAGTTCACTGATGTTTAAGATTAGTATTGAAAGGTTTGTATTCATTGGTTGTTATTTGTGTTCTCTGTGTAATTTTGTGTTTCCTAAATTATATCTTTGTTTATTTTTGTTGCCCCTGGGGTATAGTTGTTTCTCTCTCTGCTCTCTGTAATGCTTCCGTTATTCTTTAAGGAGCTGATATTGTGGACATGTATTCTTTCAGGCTACTCATGTCATGGAAGATTTTTCTTTGCGCCTCAACTATAATAGACTTTTTTTTTGCTGGGTATTGAATTCTGGGCTGGCATCTATTGTCAGGTAGAACTGGAAATGTCTTGGTCCATGCTCTTCTGGCTTTCATAGATTGTATTGATAAGTCAGCTGTAATTCTGATGCTATGTGTCTTGTTGTTTTTCTTTTGCTGCTTTCAGTGTTCTCTCTTAGTTCTGTACATTTAGTGTTTTTACTATGATATGTTGAGGGGAGTTTCTTTTCTGATTCTATCTATTTGGTGTTCTATGTGCTTCCTGTATTTGTATGGGGATGTCTTTCCTTAATCTTGGGAAATTCTCTTCTACACTCCTGTTTAAGATCGCGTCAACACCATTAACCTAAAATTCTTCTTCTTCAATTCCTATGTTCCATAGATTTGGTCATAGATTGGGTCTTTTCATGGTGTCCCACATCTCTTGCATTTTCCATACCTGTGTTTTTTTAAATTTTCCATAGTGTTTGCTGGAGTGGTCCAATTCTTCAACTTTACCCTCCAGGGTTGATATTCTGTTTCCCATTTAAATCATTCTAGATGTGAGGCTTTCCCCTTTTGTTTCAAGTAGGCTTATTGAGTTTTACAATTCCTTTTTCATTTATGCCTGAGTTTTCTTCAATGTTTCTCTCTTTTGTAAATTCATTCAGAAATTTATCCCTATCTTCTTTTAGTTCTTTGATTTGTTTTTTCATGTGTTCTTTTTAAAATATTTTATTTATTATTTTTATTTTATGTGTATGTGTGTATTGCCTGCATGTATGTGAGTGC